TAATTTTCCACGAGCAGAAGGTGGGAGAAACTGGATGACAGTTTTGGATCTTTCTCCCAGCAGTTGAATCATATCTCTCATCCCCATTTGGCAGTTTACAGAGGAGCCCGGCCTGTCAGCCTGCCAACTGCGTTCCTGCATACATGAATAGTGTTGTGATATCCACTGGTAAACATGAGGAGACAGCTGAAGAAAACTTATGTCCGTGTTMGTTCCATGGAATGCCTAAACTATGAAGATTTATTTATGTAATCAGTTTCTGAAAATGGATTTAAAGCAACCATTTTTTTGTAAACATGCACGGTTGTTTTTGACTCATGTAAACGTTGAGGAAAAAAATGTTTCAAAGCTACCAACAAAGAACACGTATATCCTGATTTGTGACACGTGTGTCAGCTTATACATGACAGTTTATGAAAGCTGTATGAATTGCGTTAAGGAGTTGAATAAAAATTCTTCTGGATGTGTTTATAGTGTGGCTTTATTTAGAAGGGTTTGTGTGTTGGTTGCTTTAAAATAAAGTTTGGAAAGAAATGTAGAAAATGTAAAAAGGCCAATTTATTGATTAGTGCTTTTGAACCACACAGTTAAACTGACTAAGATTTTTTAATGTAACATCCTGAAATCTTTCTAAATGACTTTAGTTTTTAATTCTCTGACGTTTGCTGAGGTCAATTTGGTTTTCTGCTTATGTTTCATTTCTCTGGTTGTGTAGTTTCCTGCTCTCCAGCGCAGCTGTTCTGAGTTACTCGTTAGCACACCTGCTCTTTTTCTGGTCGCTACCTCAGTTGTTACACTTCCAGGATGTTTAAAGTGAAACTTTTCTTTTGCCTTTTGTTGCTGCTTTTACTTATGGTTATATATTTTTTATGATTTACTGTAATTTATACTCTTTAGATATTTTATTTTTATTTATTCATTTTTTTATTACGCCTCATTTGCTGCCCTGTTTGACAGTCTCCTGCAATTCTGACCTCCTCCACCCTTGTGGATGACAGACTACATGATGCAAACACTGGCAAGTTCTGTTTTTCTCTTTTTTTCATTGCATTTATTTATATTCTAAAAAATTTATATATTTGGGACTAAAAAAGCTGTTTTCAGTTCATGTCGCGTTGATTTTCTATACGTCTCATGTCAGTGAATACTTTTCTTTTTTCACTTTAACTTGTGTATTTTTATATATATTGTTTGTTTCTAGAGATGAATTAGAATAACTTGTTGCTTGTGCCTCTAAACCTGCTAAAGTCATTGGGCCTCATGCAAGAACATGTTCGTATTCTTATCCTAAATTTCTCTTACTTTTGTTCGTACGAAGGGTTCGTACGAACATGTCACATCAGATTCAACAAACTCTTCTATCTTCAGGAAAAGTGTGTAAATGAGCTGCGTAAATTACACCTGTTCTATCCAGCTGCACGCGCACGCGAGAGATTAGCATAATTACCACTATAAAAACACCATATAAGGCTATGTTTCCTGCCTCAGATATCAGGAAGTGT